GCACAACTCGTATGCGCTGAAGATGTCAAGGAGAATGCTAGCAAGGGCCACTCGCAGAGGTTTTCACACCAACATTTTGTGGGCTATGAGGGTCCCGGAAATTGCATCGAAGAAGGATCCTAATTGCATCAGCAGAATTGTTGCTTGGACCCCAACTGCTGTGTGGCTTGGCCCTTCTGGCACAGGGGAAGGAAGCCGAGATAGCGCTCAAGCAGGAGGCAAGCTTGCGGCCAAACGTTACCAGCAGAAGAGCTGAAGCCAAAATAGTTTCTCAGTATGTCCTTGGAGTTTGCAAAGGGTCGGAGGTGTGCCCGAGCTTGAGGGTTGCGGGGTAGTTTCAGGGTTGTCCTTTGACGCCAGGTTGCCAAGAGTTGTCCAAGGTCACCGCCCAAAATAGCAAGACTGAAGGTTTGTGCCAGGCTTGCGCACAGCTAGGAAACTGGGTCGGTATGTTGAAACGGTGAAAGTGCTCTGCAAAAGGGGACCAATGGTTCATGCCAACTCATTGTCAGAAGCTGTAACTGCGATTGATGGAGAGTTTTGCCCCATAATGCAGGTGGAGAGGTTGCCGCCTGGTCGCAACGACATGCGGCCAGTTGGAACTACAATCTATCGGGGGGTTGGTGGGCTACCCCAGCCTTGCAGATGTGGCTTGAATTGTAACCATGTCAGCCCGCTCGTCTTCAAGCGCGTGGTGCAAATTCTGTGAAGAGGGCTACACGGGTTCCGTCAATGGTTGTTGGGGATTGGGCTAGGCGGTTCTCAGGGCACAGTGGTCTCAAACACATTGCCGAAAGTAGCACATTGACAGGCGTAACTGCGTAACACCACGTTCCCCGAGGGCCACCCTGAATGAACCTGGATCCCATCCCCATCCCAATTTCATGCGCATCTCGCCCTTGAACGGCATAGTTTGATTCAGCTCAGGCAGGAGGACCTGACAAAGCAGGCCACAGACCTCCGAGAGGAGTGGGAGAGACACTGGCAAAAAGCTGAGATGATTATATAGAAAGAGAATGGTGGAAAAAACGGGATTGCATTCATGTGTCAAACCCAATGGCCTTCAACAAGCGCATGTTTTCAGGTTGCCCCAAGACGTTCGACGGCTGAGGGCCGATTGCCCTTTGTTATACCTTTTCAGCTCTGCTTAAATCAAATCCCCAAGCTCCGCCTTTCGCCTTTTCAACGTTTTATCCGTGCGATGGCGGATGGTGTCTTCTCTTCCCATCCGTCGGCATAGCGGCAAGGAGAAGGCAAAGCAGAAGCTCATTCGCAAGGCCTGGGAACCAGAAGCCGTCGCGAGGTTCTTGCAAACTGGCACCGAAGGCCCCCTGCCCGCTTTCCCTGTTTTGGCGGCTTGTTCTTGAGACGTGCGGTTCTACTAGTCGTTCAACTGGCCGCTTGCAGGCTAGAAGTCAGCTGCCGTAAAGACGTTGGTGAAACACCTAGCCAGCTGTATGGATTCCACCATTGTAGCGTTGGCGGCATGCTAGCCATGATTTGTTTGGGCAGCGACACCCCCAAGGTGGGCAGATCGTAAGTCATGCTTGCATGTTGGCTTCTTGTGGCCAATGTAGGCATTTGGCAACGCTATCTTGGATTGGTTTCAGCCGTGGGCTTGCAGCTCAGGAGATCAAGGATCTACGGAAAGAGTTCCACACCCTGGGGGAGCCTTGGCGGTGCAAATTGAAGGCTCTAGTCAAGCAAGCCAGTCCTCGTTTTGCGTGTGCAATGTTTTGGGCCTTGAGGCTCAATCCTGGCGTCACGCGTGTTCCTGCTTTTGGCACCAAGGGTGAACTGTCGAGGGTCTTAACCCCGCTGCATCATCTCGGCTGGCCACCCTGAATGAGAGCAAAAGCCTGTGATTCACCTTTCGAATGCTGTTTGTAGATGGAACTGATGGGCCCGCCGTGCTCGTACGCCGTGAGGATAAGCACACGCCCAAGACGCTCGAAGGCGGGAATCCATTTCTTCGAGTTCATTCGGGGCGGCTTAGCCATGGTCACATTCACAGTGAACGGCATGGCTATCCCTGGCCCATGCGACTTGGAGGACTGGAGGAGCAGATCCAGAAAGAGGAGGCAAAACACGCGGACATGCAGCGAGAGAGCCTTGGATTGAAAAGAAGCCGGTGTACCTACTGCAAGGGTGCACCGGCGCTATGACACAAAACAGTCCCCAGCACATGTCTTCCGATTGCACAGTTCGTTATTATCATGTATCAGCGAATCAGAGGGTGGCCGAGCCAAGGATACATGACCTGAAAACTCTCCTGGGGCTCGCGCCCCAGGCCCAGGACGGAGAATGCGGGCTGTCGTGGAATGCAGGCGGAATAGCCTAAGCCTCGTTGCCTGCCTGAGTGAGGGTATTTCCAAGCATGCAACAACGAACAATTTAGGAGGAGGACTGTTGGAGCTTTGTGTGAATGCTAGCGTGTCCTTTTTGCTTGAGTGGTTTGAGTGGTCTGAGTGGTTCAGCGGCGTGCGCCTTGGTTCTGGTTTGGGCCGTGTGCCAGGAGCCTCCGGAGCCAGAGGCCCAGGCAGAGGCCAAGAGGATCGAGGGTTGAAAGTTGGATCGGCCGATTTTCAGCTGGGCAGGAAGGCCAGACAGTGCCCAAAGACGCCCAAAGACAGAAGGCATGAAATACAGCCCAGGTCAGAAAGGTGGCTTGGGTTTGTAATGCTCGCACGTGCGCTGCTCTTGAACATGATGCTTGGCTGCTCTTCTGTGGGCCCAATGCCCCCCTGGATGGTGTATGTCCACGAGTTCCTAAACACTTTCACTAGTGAA